GAAACGAGTAACCAAGTAAAGAAATTTAACTTTGAGCTTCAAATATTATGACCGAATTAAAAATCAGCAGAAAAATAGAAGTAGCAAAAAAGCAATTTACCTTAAATGGAGTACATGGAGGCCCCGAAGAATTCATTTCATGCGAGCGGTGGATGGTCATATGGTGTGGGGGCATCATGTGCGTCATGCGGTTATGATGGGGTCTTGGGAACTGCATGGGGTGAACATGAGGGTATCCGCTGGGTGCAGTGTGGGTAGGGTGCATAGATGGGGTATGACTTGACCGAACGGGTGGAGAAGACCGCGGGAACCCAAAGAACGGGTGATGGTATTGCGATTGCCTAGTCAAGAAGTTGTGTAACGAATCCCAATATTCCCACTGAGGGTTGGCAATTTCACCAGCTATGAGTTGTCTTCTTATCCTATTATATAAAGCTTTTAGGTTGTTGAGGCGCTGCCTTGCTTCGTCGCCAGTAACTCCTTCTCTTTTCTTGAGCACTTCGGCCATCTCAGCCCAGATCGCTCGATGGTTTTTCTTTTCGCTACAGAATTTGTTCTGCCATTCGTCTGAGGTATAAGTGTTGATAAGCTCCATGGTTTCTTCGTAAGTCCAGTTTTTCGATCTACCTCTCTCCATGAGACTGTCTGCCATATCCCCCCACATGAGGTTAGCGGCTTGAGGATTTCCAACGATACTTCCACCATTTCCCTCATTGTTGCCACCACCTCCGCCAACGCCACCGGATCCACCCATCCAACCGCCAGCGTTCGTCACATGGTTGGATGAAGTGGAATTCATTGACATACTTGCGTTTGATTGGTTAATGGGAGAGGGCATATTCACCCGCATGTGATTCAATCCTGCCATGCCTGACATGTTTGTTCTCATGTTGGCGCCCATGAAGCCAGCAAGGGACAATATTGAAGGGTTGAGAGAGTTGGGCACGTTGCCACCAGATTCCGACGCACTGCTGTTGCTCATCGTAAACGTTCCACTACACAATGTTTGGAGTCATTCACGGCGTATAAAAAGATTTCAACGAATTAAAAAAGCTCCAAATTTATTTATGTTACAGAGAAAACCCCTAACACAAGGATATATGGTGAGACAATTTAAATGTCATGAATTACTACAAAACATACGCCATACGGTAGTAGTTCATCAAACTAATTACTAACCTACCATGTCTCACAGTCACAGTGTCGTACAAAATGTTTGTGCTACTTCAATTTATATACACCTCGATGTTTTTGATCAAGATGGAAAAAATCAACCCGTGCGTTTCAAACAAACAACAAACATTGTTCACTGGAGAAACTAATTCACGAATCACTTCACACTGATCACAATCTTCTGGTTACACAATTGGGCAATTGAGAACAATATGCATAGGTTACTCAAGGCAGTAGTTCATCGCGACTTAGGAACAAAAATAACCAGATTAATTCACAGGGCAATGTTCAGAAGCATTTTTATCGAAGGAAAGCCAGCCATGCCTGTGTAGGAACTGTGGTCACAGCGTCTACTGCAACTGCTCGTCTGGCAGGCAGTGTTTCGGCAGCAGGGTCGGAGGGAGGGAGTAGCAGCGGCAGCCCATTAAGGAGACTTTCGTGCGCATGCGCCTTGCGAGCACAGAGAACGTAACCCAGAATCATGCAGACCAATATCGCCCTTATGCAGGCCATTATCATTTGATGATCGTCAAGTCAGCGGAACCCCACTATAAGAACCATCCAACCTCGATAGAGTGAGCCGATCATCATCATCAGTCTGAACATGATCATTACGCTGGCTCCACAGCGCCCAAATGCCTCGAAGTAATGATGATCATCGTCATCATCATTAAGCTGATGATGCCTCCAGGAAATGACTCGGGTAATGGCTTTTGTGTGATCAGAATTTTGCTGGAGAAATAAGAATATCTGCTGATCACGACCACAGACCGAGAATAAGTTGGGCCTACCGGCATTTCGGCTGTTCCTCCGTTACTGCTTGCCGCCTCTTCCTCACCTACGCGTGCGAGTTCAAATATTCTTAGCATTGCGGCATAATAAATGTCGCTAGGATACAACTTACTACAAGTATCAACACCATGATTGACGTTACATCAAACTTATCTCAATCGACTGTGATTAACACCGTGTATACTGCTTTAAATTTTCTCCCTCAATGTCGTTAAGTATCTGTTTTGTACTAATTTTAGATCGAATTTTAATATATTGACATTACAGTCTAACAGCCTACTATTAAGATTTTAAACCTGCATTTTTTTCGGCACGTCGCAAAATTTCACGAATGTGTTACTTTTTATTTATTTATTTTTTCTTTCCTGTATTCAACAAATTTAACCCATTTAACTTTCGTAATGTTCGTGTCAGAAATTCAGAGTAGATGGTCCCCTATCACTGCGCAACTGCTTATTCTACCATTAAAATAGTTTCACAAATTCAATAGACGTACACAATTTAAAATTTTGCGCGAAACTTTATATCATTCAATCATTAAAAAAATTTCACAGATTCAACAGACGTCAACCAGTTAAAATTTTTAACACTTCGAAGAAGTTATTCAGTCAACGAATTAATTGTCGGTTCCAGAGGAAAACATTTACAGTTACCTTCTAGTGAACATGTTTGCCTAAATTGTTATTCCTGTAGTTTGAAGCATTTTCTTCCGTTTTGTTATAAAACTCGAAAGCTCATAAATCTATATCATGTAGGTACCATCTAGGTTGAGTTACATAAAAAAACATTCAAAAAGTACAGTTTGATTGTCCTAAAATGTATACTAATTTGTGTTTTAAAAATGCATCACGTCGTTGTTTACAATTTTGTGAACGATTTAACGTTCAAATCGCAGACTTGAGTTAGATAGAGTTTTAAATTACAGCTTCCCTCTGAGTTATAGATAGGTTTCATTGTTGCCCACAACAATGAAGAGAGTAAGTCGACGGTTACATTTCTAAACTAAACACATCGCAATCCTATATGTCACTTCCCTTTGAAAACAGCATCGTTATAATCATCGTTGCCGTTCCTGTGACCGGCGGTGATGTTTATTATTATAGTTATGGTTATTGTTTTGCCTTGTGTTTATTATTACAGTTATGGTTATTATTATTGTTAGGGTTCCGGTATGGGTGGCAGTTACGGCAGCGAGCTGGACATCAAGAGGCACGTAGGACAACATCTACACTAAGTCAGAGCCACCTTTTTCATACACAACACACACAGAGTAAGAATAATCTCTTTCGGTTGAATAAGTAGTTAAAGCTAGAAAATAATAATTTAGTTAGACACTAGTTTTTAAAAATGAAAATAATCATTGGGTTAGAAAATAGAATTATATTTTATTTTCATATTAACCGCTTACACGTAAATCTGGGCCCAGATATGCCTTGAAATTAGATGCAAGCGCATACGTTGCAAAATATCTCTACTTAAAATTTCATTGCACTTTTCGAAATGCATAAGAAAAAACAATCGAAATCATGAAAAGTCTTTACCCAATTTAAAAAAACTGAATCGTCAAGCCAATTGGAAATAATGCGATTGGGCAACTTTTCACGGAAATCAATGAATGATGATAATTGTTGAATTGTGAAAAAAGTCAAATAGTGAAAAAAATATCAAATAATGAACAAAATCCAAGGAATACTCGGATCATCGAGAAAAGCAATGAAACACAGGCGCATTATTCCTTTTAGACTTGGAACAAGGACAGGCAGGATGCAAGCTAAGAACTGAAGTAGTTGACAGAAAACAGCATGCCATCGAATATAAACATTTAACTCGAGCACATAACTCGAGTGGCGCGCAACCGTTGCAGTTACTAGGAACATTCGGCGTATTTTTGGAGATGCTTAGATAGATTGTATTAAAATATTATAGACACACGTGTGAACGGGTGCAATGCCAGACAGCGCTTTTTAATTTAGAATATTTTTTCCACTAAATTGAGCTAGTAACAATAACTACGTATAATTTTCAAATAAATCCGTGAAAATTATCGTAAATGATCAATCCGATTTTAATTGATTACGGTAAGTAATGATCGATGCAAATGTTTGCGTGGTGTAACTAGTAACTTGGTATTAAAAATTTGCTATAGTTATTTCGAATTTTATGACTTAATTCGATAATTAGAATTAATTATATGAGTGCAAGTTTTGTTTACGCGTACTACCTGCTTATCTTTGACACAATATTTGGAAGGGCAGAGCATATAGTTTTGAAGCCTGGAATATTTCTTGAGTATCTTACTTATGACTAATGTGAGAAAAAGCCCAACAAGGCGTCAGTTTCGTTCAGCGTAAGCCATTGCCTTAGCGACGCTCAGTTCGTGCTTGCTGATTTAACAGCACTGCCTAAAATATCTCCAGTCCTCTACCCGGTTTGAGCATCATAAAGATTCGTTCGCCTTTCAAAATGATGCGTGAAACAATCACAACAAGGAACAAGTTGGGCACTACAGGGTAAGAACTTGAAGAGTGATAGTGAAACCTTATGATCTATGACGAGATGTCAGTGAATTTAGTTTTTCCTCTATGAGCATGCTTGAGGCTTGAGTGGAGAAAAAATGTGATGAGGTTGGGGTGAGCACTATTGAGCGTCCGAAGCCCGCGCGCCTTCTGTCCCGTCGCCGCTCCGCAGCAGCGAACGCAACCTATTCGTGCGCATGTGCCAAGCTCACAGCGTTTTACACATATTCTACAGCTGTTTTATTGCAAGGTTTTGATCAGTATAACACAACTGATTAGGAATTCTTCTTTGATTACATTCTTCATATCTACACTGACGATATCTTTGCAGCGTGCGACTGAATATGTGATTATAGTAAACGCTTGCGATCTTACTGCATAAGACAACGCGCCTGCGTGAACAGCTACAACGAAATGGAGCGATCGGTAAGATGTGCTCGGCTGCGTTGCGTCTACCAATGGGAAGGAAGCTTTCAAATCGGTTTACGAAGATGAACGAATACGGCATCAGGAGGCAGCCATGGAATGCGCTGCTTGCGTTGTTGCTCGGTGGAGTTCGTAGCGCATGGATCTGTGTCTCATAACGTATATGTCGCCAACGTGCAGTTGATTATTTTGTGGTTTGTTAAGTGAACGATAAACAAAAACCGACACACGTCCGTGGCACCTAGTGCAATACGATTCGTGTAATTAAAAATAAGTATAAAATAATTTTATTATAACTTAAACCCAATAAATGAATTCATCATTTCAATCATGGACTTGGCAAAAGATCCATCTATCACATCAAGCCGTGAAGAAATCACAGCAGAATCGGTACATATAGAAGATGCTATCAAAGCTGACGACGCTAAGAACGTGATGATTTCCAATATCAAAAAGGAACATAAACAGACTAAGATGAGCAGGAGACGCAAATCCATCAAAAATGAATGTGTCGTACTCGACGGGCCTCCGAATCAAATGAATACAAGATCGTCCAAAAGTTGGGATGATCTCGAAACAGAAGCGTCACCTAAAAAAGAGTTGACAGGAAAATCGAGTGATTCAGAGTCGGCACTTGAAAATAAGAATATCTCTGAAAATGATAGTGCGATAACAAAACTACGACAGAATGAGAGCATCAAAGAGAAAAAAGCGTGCCTGCCTGCAAATTCGTTCGAAGGGAAGCAAGCTGGGTCTGCCGAGTCATCTGTTTCTACGTTGCAGCCTCCCATATTGCAAGCTCTAGGGTTAACCCGTGGCCTTGGAATCGGCGTTGGTCTTGCCAACACCATTAGCTTAGGCAAAAGTCAGATCCTGAGCACAGAGCAACAGAACCGGACGGCTCAGACGACCGCCGTCACTGCAACGACAGGCACCTTACCCAAAACCGTGCCTCTTCTGCTGAACATGCCTACGAGTGTAGGAGCTGGTGCAGGCAGCGTTTCTTCTCTCCTTCCCGCGAACCTTCCTCCGGGTCGATACGTTATCATTTCAAGCACTTCAGCCTCATCTAGCTCACCTTTGGCCACCATCACCACCACGACGAGTAGCAGCAGTCCGAATAAGGCTGCACCAGCTCCGCTTGCAGTTGCGTCGCTCCAAGCCATATCAACTGCAGTATCCTCTTCATTGGCATCGAGCCCTGTGACCGCAGCCATGCCTGTGACTATGACCAAGCGTTCGGTGACACGACTGACGCCAAACGGAAGCGTCTTGAAGACAAGCGTTCGCGGAACTGCTGGAAAAACGCGTGGAATGAGGAAATCATACACGAATTCGGAAAAGTTGGCTATGATTGAGGCTGTTGAGAGTGGACTCAGAAAAAGCGTTGTTGCTGACAAGTTCGGTGTGGCCCCATCAACACTTGCCTGCATTATTCTGCAGAAAGAAAAAATTCGACGTGACCAGGTGAGTCCGTCAATGATAGCGTGTTTTGAAGTTTCACATATAAACGTACCTTCTTGCATTTATATGAATTGCGATAAAAGGCGAATACAATGCAGAAGACCGATTCGTGAATTCGTGAACTACGTCCTTAATTTGAATTTCATCTTGTTCAAATGATCATCGAGGCTTGGCTTTGCTTGTGGCTTCTTGGTATTTATATAATTACCCGAATAAATATTTATTAGCTCAAGTATTTCGCAAAACACATGGGATTAACGAAACATTCGAGCCATCGGGAACCATTCACGAAATTTAGTACCTATAGATATATGTTCTACGTCCTATTAGGTATATGAAATTTTCAAATGCGTTTGTTTGTTTGAAGACTGGCACTATATATACAAATGCTATTTGATCGCGTATCTGCGATACTTTACATGTAACGTGTTGGGATATTACCTGACTGAAATTTGTACTCAGTGGGGAAATACGTAGTAGGGCTTTGTAAAAATTGGGAGGAAAGAATCGGATGAAAATTTAAATTTATTAATAAGTATTTCTTTTCCAGCCTAACGTTTCTGCCTAACGTTTCGGTTTCTTTTCCAGCCTAAGTCGCAATGAACTAGCTCTTTACCATAAGATGATGTTCTTTACAGCTCGTGACAAGTGTTCACAAATATGTTGTAAATTAACGTAATAATGGCGTTCAACTTTTACTACCACGCATACGTTTCCCGAAAAGAATTACTGGACTCGCATTTAATTGCATATTATAATATATTAAAACGACTCCGTTATTATCAATGCGCCCTGAAGCGATTTCCCGGGCAATCACGGAAAGTGTTGTCAAATTTTGCGAAAAAGAGCACTAATGTGTAATGAGACATCATAACTCTTATGAAAGGCATTATTTTATTTAATTATAGTCGTGTTCGAATTATAAAATTAGTTGGACCAGTTCATATGTCAAACAAATTGAGGTTTGGCATTTTTAGTGCATTTTCTCATTTATGGAAAAAGACGCTATTGTGCTCATTTCCGTCCGTCCGTCCGTCCGTGACCACGTTTTCGTCGACTAGAAAATGCGCTCTCTGTCACTCACTGCAGCGAGTACTGAATTATATTTTTTACTAATTGATATCCGCGTATTTTTCATAAGCTTTTAATATAAAATTGTAATTTAACACTAATAAAACCGTTAATTACAATGTTTTTTTGCAGACCAAATCAAGCTTGAGCCGTCGCCGGATCCGGCCCTGCAACGACTCCTCCATCACAGGGCTTTCCCCGTCCCACTATCACTCCAGCGCGGCGTCTCAGTCGTTCCACAACGAAACTGCGGATGGCGGCAACCGCGAAGATGGCTATTCGAAAACGGAAGATGGAGGAGGCAGGGAGACAGGACACAGCGGACAGGGCTCTGGTAGGGGAAGAAGTCCTCTACCCTTCACCCATTTCCTCGCCAATTTCGACCAGTCAATGAATTTTGATGTTTCTCAAGCGGAAGAAATTGTTTCCGGTGAGATTACGTGAGATATTGTTTTTTGTTGTTGCAAATTTAGTTACCAGTGCATTGCTTATAAATATGGTTATATTTAGTATCATATAGTTTATGATATTTTTTATTATAAGTTTAACCGTAATGAATATCGTGTTCTGGCTACTCAACTGAATTCGGCTAGTGTATTTTACTTTGGCGTAATCTAGGTCAATTCCGCAAACGTTGACTTTTGAGGCTAGCTACTCAAACATTGATTTCTTAGATGCTATTTAGTACTCAAATATTTAGTTTTCCTGACGTAAATAGTGTTTTTTTATTGGAATATACTCTTGCTTTGCTTTTTTATGGCTTAATATATGCTTAAGTATGTAGCCTGCTAACTGGACTTTTTATTAATGTAAATCAAACTCGCTGCTGTTGTCTGACATGTTCCTTACATTGTTGATATCTACCACGATGATTAACAGAATAACATATACATTTTTTTGATGTGAGCAATGATCACAAAATCTTTACAAAAAGGAACCGTACTTTTTTTATTACTTTCTGCCTCTGTCATAAAACCATTAGAATACGTATATGTATTTATTTTGTACAAGTATACTTTCATATTTCGGAAGAAAATTAGGAAATTTGCATTTTAATTTGCATGATTGATCTTAACCATGTTTCGAACATCTTATCATGTGAGCAGTGCCGGACTTGTCTCAATCTCTGACCTACACGAGCGAAGGCGCGACTTCCTCACCAGCGTCGTTCTGCGTATCTGACCTAAGCCATCACACGCTGCCGAGCGCGGCGTCCACTCCTCAGTGCTTGGGAACGCGAGTTCAGCCTGAGACGGCAGAACTGCTTGGCAAAGAACCAGAAGATGACTTCGTCGACCACATTCAGAGCTCTCAAAATTCTGGTAAGTAGTAGGCAAGATTATGAGAACGATTGAATACTTTATCCTTAAAGTTAGTTAAAATTGCTAACACGTCATGAACGGGAAATTATTGTGCTAATTGGTGTTTACTTCCTTGCGAAACGTGGTAGGCTTTACTCATTTGTATGTAATCATTATTTAGTATTGTTTCCAATATTATTGTTGTATCTCGAGGGAAAAAACTTTCTGCGTTCCTCCTTCACGTGCATTGTAGACTTTTCTTGGTGGAATGTCGTTGAAATAAGTTTTTGGTGCATAAGTATTCTGTGCGAACCTTTGATAGGGGGTTTTGGCTCCTTGCAAGTGTTGGTAAAACTGACAGATACGTCGGAGGAGTCAACAAAAAAGTGGTGTCAATTCGGTTCTTCTGTGCAATACTGTACATTCTAGTTTTACTCGTCTCGTGCACATCAGCCGTTGCGGCTTCCGAAGCGCCATCCATTGGCTCACCGAAAACACGCAACCCTTCCCATGCTGCCAAGAATGTTTCTGTGAGGGACCGTGTCAAAGAGTTCGGCGACATCCTAATGACGGATCCCAGCGGAGAAACTCTCCTTTGTTGGGCATGTGGCTTCAGACTTGATCATACCAGGCGATCTACTATCGTCGAACACCTCAGGTGCTTCCATCTCCGTTTGCTTTTTCACATAGAGAATGAATGGCTTAGAAATGCACGATTCTACTGCGTTGTAGAAATCCACCAAGCAATAATCTTAACGAAATCCTTCCCATAACGGACTCAAATGTCCGTTGAATGGAGTAATGGATTAAGAAGCATGGAAAAATCCCTCAGTTTATTTGGTAAAGATTAGGAAAATGGAGTCAAGCAGGGCTTATGTAGGAAGCAGAGACACGCTTCTAATCATGAAATGCATTGAAACTTATAAATGGGTGAGTGGATTACCTACCTCGCACGAATGGCGTTACTGTTGATTCCTGCACTCAATTCTGCTTCCAAAGTGTCTGCTTGTTTAAATTACGCTGAGACACTGATTGAGGTGTGTTTAAAAAACCAACTGCTTTTAGTTAGTTTCGGCTATGCATCGCACTGCTTGCCTTCATTTTCTGACCGCTGGGCATTCTTTGCCGGCAGGTCTAGGAAACATGGAAGGTGTTATCTCGTTGCTCAAGCCCTCAAGACCTATGCCTTGTCGTCTCTTGGGTCATCATCCTTTCCCTTGGAACTTGTCAAACAAGAACCTGACTCTTCATCTTCCAAGAACCTTGACTCATACTGCAACGAAGGAGGCCTCTTGAACTGCGTCTCTGATCATGAAGATACGGGAGTTGAGACGTCGGGTGGGTGAGGTTTTTTTTTGCCAAGTAGCTGCGAGAATTTGTGGTGATTTTGCAAAAATTTCGACGCCGACTTCATCCAACTTTGTCAGAAGTTATCAGTAACAGCATTGCGGAATCATTTGCAGGTGCTCTGAACATAATACCACTTAACGACTATTATGGGAGAATATTTATCGTATGAACTCTCCTCCACATGTGCTCATGATTAAGCTTCGGTAATCCTGACCTCCGAGGAAATTCGTCGCATTTATTGATGGCATTTTTAATGCAGTATCTTAAAAATTTATTATCTTTTCTTAAATGTTGTATCTAAAGTTACCGTAATTGATGTGATTATGGGGAAAGTTCAATTCTTAGATCTCTGTTCGGGCTGTGATGTGTCTGTAGTTAAACTTAATATTTTTCTTTACAGCTGCTACCAGTGGATGGTCGAAAAATCGTGTTATGAGTTATGTATCCTTAGTTACGAAAATAGTATTTGTTGAAATATTCTTTATGCAAACCACTATTCCTTTCGGTTAATGACTATTGTGGCAATTGGAAATTTTATTTCTTTTAATTTATGCAAATTAAATTCAGTCATTAAAAGTTTGATTTGATTTTCCATTTGAAGGATAACAGCTTAGCAATTTTGTCAACTTCTTGTTAGCGCCTTTAAAATAAATTTGGTTTGAGGCTTGCTATTGAGAGTTGATGGTTGTTGGGTAACTTAGTCCTTCAAGCTGAGCCTTCAACAACTCCGAATCGTAATTTATTAGTCTTCAATGTTGTATTGTATTACTATGTTTCTTTTTACATTTTTGCATGGTTTGCTAACGCGTCAATTACATCGATATTATTCTTCATATTTCATTTAATTTTGTTCGAACAAATAATAGTTAATCATGGACTGACTTGTTTGTTTAACAGCTGTATTTCTGATGAAATAACAAGAACGTTTCTGAGGACGCTGTGCAAAAAAAAAATGTTATAATTTGTATAGCTCGTTTTTACTTGTTTTTGCATTAATTTCATGCATAATAAATGATGTTTATGTATCCGCTAAACTTTGCTATAGGATCATTTGAATTCTTGCAGTATTTTGTAATTATGGTTATTATGGTTTATTAGAAACGGTTTAATGGTATTAGGTACTACTTTTATTTCATGTATTCTCATCTGCCATTGCGTCTGAGAGCGGTTCATGTAGTGAACTTTGAAGACCAAAAATCATTTGCTGATAGCGCTTTATTAATTTTCATGACTAAATTCATGATTCCATGCTATCTAGCTGGCCAATATTCCTAATGCATAGGTACTATGTACGCATACGAAATGTGAAGGTATTTAAGATTTTATACTTGGCATTTGTGGCCATGTGCTATCTGATTAAATGTATAATATTCCCGTATAATATTCATGAAACTTTTCCAGATGCGTGTCGAGATGATTCAGTGGGCGGGCGACGTACGTCTGGCACGCCACGTCCCTCTCAGTCTGAGCCTTCAGCGACGCGTTCCTCGAGCGCGGACCGAGCGCAAGACGGCCAGCTTTCCGGCTTGTGTCTCGTCAAGAGAGAAGTGCATTGCTACTCTGTGCTGGATCAGCTCATGAAAGACCAGGCTTACACTGACGTTACTATCACTGCAGATGGACACAACTTCTACGCACATAAGGTCATTGGATGGAAAGTTTATCGATGTTTCTTGCAGAATCTTATGGTGTTTTTGTTGATATAATATGGGATTTTTTTTTGTTTATATGAGAGTTTTTTAATTTGAAACTTTGCATTATTTCTATAGTTACTTTGCTATCAGCTTCAACAAAATTACGGTGTTTTCATAATATCTTGTCGATCATTCAAAATATATTATTACCAGGTTTTCAACTCAAATTTTACGGGTTGTCTTCGTAAAATCTTAATTATCTAGTCTTCCGCTTAGTCAGAATCTTGTCATGTTTGCGTATTTTCATTAAATGGTTGATAACCGAAATTCTATTGAAAACTTTCTCTCATGAGCAGGATTCGAAACGTCATTCGGACATGTTCGATAACTGCAGTTGGAAAGTATACTTAAGAAACTGACTAGTCGGCTTATGAATGTAAGATTCGAGAATTATTATCGACGTTATATCGCCAGGTGGTTCTGTGCGTGGCCAGCGGCTACTTCAGGCGCGTCCTGGCTGACCAAAGTCCGGGCGTTCGCAGCGTGGTGGTCTTCAGAGACGTGCAGGCCGATGAGATGAAGAACATCTTGCAATTTCTGTACACGTAAGTTATTCATGAATAACGTCCTAGCGTCTCTACACGTGAGTTATTCATGAATAACGTCCTAGCGTCTCTACACGTGAGTTATACATGAATAACGTCCTAGCGTCTCTACACGTGAGTTATACATGAATTACCTCCTAACGTCTTTATACTAGTGAGTTGAAATGAATTACGTCCTCCAGTTCTGCTCAGGTGAGTTTGAAGTGAATAACGTTGCTTATATTAGGATTTTGATCATTTATAATTTTCCTCCAAGGATATTCTACGTATGTGTTCAAATTTAATAATATTACGATTGTCCGATTACATAGATATGATTTTGTCTTTCAATTTCCTCCAATTCAAATTGCGTGAAAATGAAGACATTTGAAAACATAATGACGTGCAAGCGATAACCAATTGCGCTTGAAAATTATATTTCTTAGTCTTAAGAGTTGTTAATTGTCCGAAATAAAGTTTTGTATTTCCTCCAAGCCAAAGTGAGTTTCAAAGCTGTCACCATTATATATTCTATTGTATTATATTATATTTTATTATTTATATTATATTTTTACGAGCATTAATGCCTAATCATTGACGGTGTGAAATATTTTCAGAGGTGAAGCGACTGTAGATGCGACCGATCTGTCGTCTTTCATGCGCACCGCACAGATGCTGGAGATCACGTCTCTGTGTGATGAGAAGCTCAGGCTTCCAACTCCCACTGCGCTGTCCTCTCCTCAAATCAACGACCCTCTACACAACCTGAACATTTTCTCTGCCAACGCCCTACCCATCGTGACCAATGCATTAAGACAACAAGGACTTCTATCCCATCAAACTCTGTCGCAATTCCAGCAACTGCACTCGCAAAAGCAGCTGCAAGTTGTTGCCCAACAGTTGCAGCACCTAAGAGAGCAGTTACAAACCTCCTGCTCCCAGATGTTTATGCAAGCTAATGATGAGGTCGTTAAAGCTCCTACCGATAGTAATGGCTCGAAGAAACACAACTATTGTTCTGAGGTACAGGATTTGACTTTTTCCAAAAGATCTGAATCTTGTATTACTCCACCATGTGATACTCCTATTGAGACATCACCTATCTCATATGGTGAAATTCAGAGTGTTGTATCGGGAGCTGAGCCTAGCTTGGATGTAAGATCGGCTGTTTTTCCATCATTGGACGATCCTCCCGACCCGGTTAGGAATGTAACTTTGGATCTTCCTCAACGTCCTTTGAATCTGACTTCGCCCGGTGTTGATCAAATTGAAAAATCGCCTTCCAAGTGCAATGCAAATTTCGACCATAACCCCGAGGAAATGAATGCATTAATTACTTCTAATGAGGGTCCAGTTGAATCTCGTCCCGGATTTTGTCAAACAACCTCGAACCCCCGGAAGAGGGCCCGACCTTCCATTGAATATTCACCTGCGAGTTCAGAAGATTGCGGTAACATTGACCAGGTCTCAACTGCAAGGGTACAGCCTGTTAATTTGGTTATGGACTGGAAATCTCGCAACGCTGTGGAAGAAACACAAGTTCACAACGGAACCCCCGCACCTGATTTGATAGACGGTAATTCTTTTAGCGCTCCTATAGACATGACGGCTATGAACCACACCTTCGATGGAGGCTCGAAGAAAAATTTTACCACTGTTGGTCTTACGGAAAGCACAGTAATTTCTTCAAATGATAACGAAGAAAATTTTTGCTCGAATAACGAAAATGACACACCGAGTAAAAAACTAAAATCATTTTGCGCGAGTGAATAATCGTTCAATACAGATTATGTTGGATTTTAAGTTATCTTGTTACTTTCACAATCATTATTAGTATATACATTTTTAGCATAGAAGTTGCTGCCATGTATAATTGCGTGCCATGCCGACTTGATTAAGTTCGACCTGGTGCTTCAGTTTTATTTCAATTAAGTTTGTTAGATACTCTAGCTAAAATCCTGAATCATTCCTCAAAGTACAATCATTATACAGGAAATTTCATGCACACGATTGGTTCAATGCCATACAATCAGAGATTCGTGTGATCATCGTCACTAATTCGTATGAGTTCTTACATTTTATTTATCTTGCATTTTCGTCTTGAAGTGGCCGAGCCTGTCGTTAACCTTAGAACGTCCATATTTTAGTGTCTGGCTTAGCTTGTACAACTAAAAGCTGCTTTGAACTCGATGGCCTTTCGCAACTTGTATTTAATGTTACTTTTAAACGTATTACATTTACTGTATAAATGAAATCTGGCTATGCTGTCGTTACAATTGGAAGCCAAAATTAATTGACCTAATGATAAATTTAATTGGATTTCTCACTTTTTACTATTATCATCAATCGATTCATCATAATGGCAGTAATAGCGACAGCTCAAATGAACTATTCTAATTTCGAAATTTCAATAGAAACTGTCAGCATGTTCTTTGCTAAGTAAGTAATTACAAAAAAATGCAGAGAAAATAAGATATTGAGCTGTACGTTTTTGGTTCATTCCTCATGTCTGATGCCAGTCCATTGACAAAACAGCAAATATGAACTAATTGTTCGTCTGCGAGAGGGAGAAGAAACATAGTATTGACTTCGTCAAAGAACCCAATCCGTTCCTTGAAAATTAAGTTATTATTTTATTCTAATAGATCTGCTGAACATACTGTAATACTATAGCTCTTGATATAATCACTCGCTCAGGAAGATGTTCGCTCTAAGAATGCTTTTTACTGTAAGGTTAGAAAGCTGCTGGAAATTACGTGTTACGCTTAGATCTTGAAGTCAACGAGTATATCGTATGCATGAATTTCTGATGATGCCCAGGTTGCTTACATATTAATTTTACCTGATGCCAACTGGTTTTTAGTAATCAAAGTTTTCTGATTTACTTGGAAATTAATTCTTAATTCCGAGTCAAAAAATTGATTACAACAAATAAAAATTTGAGATGGGCAAAACTCACGATTTTTTCTCGGATACCAGCATGCCATTTGAAATATACATATGTACCAATTAAAACTTTTCAGGTTTCAATTGATAAGTAAATTAATAAAAAAATATGTCGTTAGAAGGGCTACGATAGAGGCAGCTTTGTTTGGATGATCCCAAAATATTAATAATTTAAAGAGGAAAAACACGAACACGTCGAACGAGATAAATAATAATTACCCAGTCATGAAAAAACACTGGTTTATTAATTACCTCAACTTGATATGAAATTGATAACCTCAACTTGATATGTATGAGAAATTTTTCGAACATTGAAACACAGTAACCTTAATTGAAATAAACAATTTTCAAAAGTTGTGGAACTTTGTATCATGGGAAAAATTAGTTAATTCATAAGTTTCCCTCCTGGCAATATGTCTTAAAAATATACTGAGTACCTAGAATTTTGCACGCTTCGAATCACGTCCATGCTGAGCTTCTTATGAAATCGCTGTAGCGCTCTGCACCGCGAGGCTGTCACTTATAACGTCTCATCGTTAGATTACTTCATAGTATTTTTCAATGATTTACTGTATGTGTACGCTCGTTGTAGCTATCTATAGTGAATTAAACAGTACAACTGATTCATTCTTTACTGTCCTATAATTGGATAAACGAATTTCTAAAATTATTTATAACAAAGTGATTACAAGTCAGTTTTTGTTAAGAAAGATTCCACCTCTTTAGAGAGGGCGGTTTTTCGCAAGAAGTGGCAGGAGAGAATGAGGCGGAAAGGCACGGAAAATCAGGTCTATCACTTCCAAGCTGTCAAGACAACATCGGCTGCTCACGGACAGTAAGAGGAGATGGAGGACAAGTAATTAGTAGGAATGATGTCCGTAGATTAAGGCCTGTAAATAATGTAGGCAGTAACCGCATACATCAAAGTGAAGGTGCACAAAAAGTTTTAAAATGTTTTCACACGAACTCGGAATCCGTTTTGAACAAAAATAGTGAACTGTTAACAGTGATCGCAAACGTGTGTATAGACATTATTTGTATTACAGAAACACTCCCAAAAAATCACGGGGGAAAATTGTACCTGTTGAATTTCAGCTGCCAGGTTTCGATTGTTTTCATAACTTAAATGAAGAGCAGTGCAGTAGAGGTGTAGCTCTGTGGGTTAGAACCTTTTATGGGGCCCAGCAAGTTAAATTATCTGCAGAGCATCAATCAGCTCGAGAATCAGTGTGGTGCGAACTTACTCTAAAAGGCAAAGATAGCCTCCTCATAGGGGTCATTTTCAGATCACCTAACAGCTCCTCTGATAACAATAAAGTGTTAAACAGCCTTTTACCGAGCATGACTTTTAGCAGGTCGGACACGCTGATCGTTGGTGACTTTAACCATCCAGAAATAGACTGGGCAGATGAATCTTCTGCAAGAGATGGGAATCACCCAGCATCCCTTTTATTGGAGTCTGTGCGAGACTCATGTTTAATCCAGAACATCACCAAGCCAACCTATACTTTAGGGGTAAACGGACCCCAAATATTCTAGATCTTGTGTTTACTAGTGAAGAATTAACGATAGATGAGCTTCGCCACGAGGCTCTGTTGGGCAAAGGTCACCACCAATCAGGGAGAAGAAACGTAGTATTGACTTCGTCAAAGAACCCAATTCGTTCGTTGAAAATTAAGTTGTTATTTTATTCTAATATATATCTGCTGAACATACTGTAATACTGTAGCTCGAGAATCAGTGTGGTGCAAACTTAATCTAAAAGGCAAAGATCGCCTCCTCATAGGGGTCATTTTCAGATCACTTTACGTCATTTTCAGATCACTTCAGATCACTACTTTACGCTTGGAGGAGTCAAAAAGTCCCAGTGGATGAAAAGTGCAGTTAAGGCTCAGCTAAAGACCAAGTAAGAAGCCTACAAGCGTTATTTACGAACTCGCAGCGATTCTGATTATAACTCGTATGCAGGAGCTCGAAATCAAGCTAAAAAAGTTTGTCGCACTGCAGTGAAAAACTTCGAAAAAAATATTGCTAAAATGCAAAAAATAAAATAGCAATAATAAAAATATTGCTAAAATGCAAAAGTTAACAGGTTTTGAAATACAAGAAGAAGAGGTTCTCAAGCGCCAGGTAGCTCTAAATCTCAACAAGTNGCTGCTTTGAAATGTAGCGGCGCTACCGCTACCGCTACATGCTCTAAATGTAGCGGGCGCTACCGCTACCGCTACACCCACTACATTAACTAGGCCGCTGCCGCTACAGTAATATGTAGCGCCGCTACATTAGCCGCTACAATGGTCAAAATTATTGGAAATCTCTAAATATATAATGTTCTGCTCTTGGGATTTACTCATAAACATTTAATGATAATAGAACATTTTCAAAACATATCAATGCAACTTTATTGCAATTAACCTAGCCAAACTAGTACGGGTTAGATGCAGTAAATAAAAGTTAGTTATTTTTATGTTTTACCTTCCCTACATGGATGTCTACTATAATCTACCAATCTCAAAAATTATCCACATATACATATGGAAAATCAGTCTTTTACATTGGTAGATTACATTGGTAGATTAAAGTAGACATCCATGTAGAGAAGGTGAAATATAAAAATAACTGTGTAAAAATAACTGTAAGCAAACTGAAACATGAAAAAATACCTGTAAGCTGTAACTGGTAACAACTTAACAAGTAACAACTAACATGTTGAATGTTAGTTGACACTAGTAACAGGCTGAGGTTGACATCATTACAATAATACTTAATATTACAATAATATTACATTACAATAATATTTAATATTTAAAACTATTAAATAAAATCTAAAGCAGTGGTTCCCAAACTTTTTCAGGCTGGCGCCCCCTTTGGCTCCCTAGTGAATTTCTAGCGCCCCCCACAGACACATTTAAAAACATACGCCTCTTTCTTGAAATTTAGTACGCTGCAATTTTAAAAGATAAAGACTAAACACAAATGTGTAGGTATTTCACGAATAGAACCCCATTTAGTGAACCAATATGTTTTTCAGCTGTATTAACTACACTCACCATTCCAAAAAAAAAAAGAATTGATTTTATTATGCCTTGCACGTCTTTCGTGAGTTATATTGCGATACAAGCCAAAATTCGCAATGATCACAGAATTTCTTCCAAACTACTGAACAGATTTGAACGAAATTTTGAATATACATTCCTGACTACCAAACGGTCATTTATTAGCTTATAAAAAATGTTTTGATTTTACTTTCGTTCACTGTTTTTTTTTTCATTTCACCGTCATTCTTGATTTCACACTTCTTATATTCGGTCCGTATCGCCGGATGATTTGTCGCTTAAATTCGCCACGATCAAAAAATTTCTTCTAAACTACTGAACAAGAAATTTTTGTGGCACATGATTTCCACGAAATTAAATAATTTTCGAAACTAAATCAGCTCTGAAAGGTGAAATCAACGACTCCATTTTTTTCATTTCATAGCCCGTGTAAATTTTACTTGAGGCTCATAATTGCAATAATTCTACCAATCTACGGCTGATTATTACAGAGACTGCAAATCAATCTTGACCGTTTATTACAGACTGCAAATAATTCCATTCTGATCATGCGTCTGAAGCAACTAACTTTATACACTAAAAGCTGAAAAATATTCTCTAGAACTACATCTCTTTGTTGGTAGTCCAAAAAATTAATAAAACCCAACTTGTAATTTATTAAATATATACCATCTCAAATCGGTGTGTTAGAATATATTTACATTTAGAATCTATAATACATTTGTCGACTCGTAAGAACTCCTTCTTCTCTTCCAAACTGCACATCATATTTATGTCATAATTTTATGCCAAATGCTAGCATTTGCGTGCTTATTAGGTAAATTGTTTGATAAGCACAACTTCTAGATATTATGAAACCAAAACGATCATACTTAACCTGAGCATATATAGCGAAGTGCGTGTTGGAGGCAGCGATAGAGCAGAGGCAGATTGAAAGAACCTGTTGTAATGAAGTCTGTCCTTGATCGGGATTCGTTTCACTCAATGATACTTCAAACATTTAGGAACGCCAACAATTTAATAGAAGAAAGCAAGAAGCAAAAGTTTCATCAAGAGATAACACCATACATCAAACTATCTGGCACACTAGCAATTCAGTCAACCTATAAACAGGCGACATCTGCGAATTCCTTAAACAGGATAATCTGCTGCACTTCTCCAATCTTCGAAGTAAGGAGTCGGTTCACGTGGTGAACGTTGAGCACGAGAAGCTTCAAGGACAAGCTCTGAGAGTGCCACCTCGAGTCCAGTCCACGCGAGATCAGCAGCAACCCTACACATTGAAAATAATAATACTTATGAACTGACTGAAACTAATCATTTAAGCACGTTAATTATGGAATCGCAATATTATCACTAAATAACAACTGAATGTGAAATAGATACAGCATATTTATTGTCTAATCTCGATTTGGTTAATTAAGCGGAACATCTTACCATTAATAAAGGCAGGCTAGGTTGACTCGAACCAAAGCAAGTAAAGGCGCAATGGTCATCGTCAACCATGTCTAGATATGGGTTGGTCACAGGAGGACTGCTGGGTAACGACTAGTGACTAGTCTAGGGTCCGGTCTATCACTCATGTCGAGTGTTTCCAACTGGTGCCTTCTAGAATTTAATTTACAACCTTACACCTGTGTAGGTAGTAAAGGGTTAACCCACAACTCTGGTAGGAATAGCATTATGGATAAGAGGACACGTAAGCCGGTATGGAGGTGATCGGATTGTCTGGACTAGGGAAGCACAATTGATAGAAAAGATGACAAGATTTGTTTCCGCAACGTCGGACCGAGAAATCACTGCCACCTTTCAGAAATATATTTTTGATGCGAATGATTAAATTTAATTAATATTGTTAGTTTATGAATAATTTTGCACATTTTTAGGAGGTATACAGTAACGACGAGGCTTGTTTAATTTTTTTCTCTCAGCGCTTACTGCTGCTAATGCGCAAATCAAGGATCTAACTGCAAGGAATAAGCAGTCAACCCTCTGCTGCAGCAACTCGTCATGTGCAGGCCTAGTTTTCAGAAATGCCCCAAGTGCCTTCGTGTTCTTGGTACTTTGTCATGGACAAAA